AAAACAATTCAGTGTCTCGGGTCAATGTGAAATGAAGCGGGTGAATCGTTTTGAACAAGTAATTATGAGTAAGTAGCTGTACACATGCTGCCCTGTGCCCTCCTGCCTCCTTCCCTCCGGTCCTCTTGTTGACAGATTATCACCGTCAGCCAATGAGAGCTGACGCGCAACCGCACAAAGTGAAGCTCGCGCGGAGGGAGGGGGCACTTAAAGGTGTAAACGTGTTAGACACTCTCACAATCCAGTTATATCATGAAACGTCTCTTGGGAAGCTATATGTGTCTAAGCCTAATGAATGTGTGTTCAAAGACTCAAGTAATGTTTACATGACTTCAACACTCCGCAGGTTCAGGCTGCTGACTAACTATTGTTAATGTGATCTGTTTTGTTACATTCCTACATGCTTCTTTCGGATTATTCTTTATGTCAAGAGCAGGAATGTTGCTCCAGTTGTACTCTCTGAACTCATTGAACCAAACATCAAAATGCAGAGTAGGTTACATTCAAACATGCTGATTTAACAGTAAGAAAAACGGTCAAAGTGTCAACACAAAAATAACATCAAAATTCAAACAAACAAAAGTTAAAAATGTCATATACCAAAATCAACACCTAAACAGTCAATGGAAAAAGTCCAAACTTAAATATATGTGCGTACTGATGTAACTACAAAAACCTCTGCAAAATTAGGAATTACAGAATATCCTACTTCATATTGTATGTTAGCTCTTATCAGTGTTTTTGGGTGTCACTGTTATGAGAAGATAAGGCAGTGCAACCAACAGCAAGCAAATATATCAACAATCAGTTGAACTGTTAGCATGATGTTTTATAGTTAGTTAGTTAGTTAGTTAGTTAATAACATTGTACATTGAAAAAACAAGATATAATGAATACACAATGTAAACCTTGAAGCTTAGAAGTTAAATATAAAGAAGTCAAGTAAATAGTCAAGTAAGGTACCTCAAAATTGTACTTAAGTATGAACAATGTTTTACATTAGCAGTAATACATTAGTAACTTTTATGTTTGTGATGTAAGGTTACATGATATGCAAAAGTGCAAACAAAAGCCTAACCTGAACTAGGGATGCCAGAAACTGACCATGACCAAAATCGAAGATCGGACAGCCCTGGCGAATATTAATCGATTAATCGCCCCCCCCCCCCCCCCGGGGAGGAGGAAAAAAAAAACACTGACAAATGGTATTCCGTTGTTTTCTTTTACTGGAACGTGTACATGGTACAAAAGAGCTCTTCAGTATTAACAGTATTAATAATAGCATAATTGAAATAAATTAAATAAATAGCCTACTTTATGTGTGTATATATGGGTGTAGGCGAGAGCGCAGCCGGTTAAGGATTAGTCCTGCCGCCGAAAAAACCCTTTCCGAGGGCACAGAGCACTGCGGAGCCTCTCAGCTAAATTAACCGCACTCTTCATCTCCCATTCACTATCGATATAATGTCAGGTTATGGTAACATAGGATTCAGTTGTGAGTGCCGTCCACCCGTCGGTGGTTATCGACACCTTTGAGACAGTTGATAAGAGTACGGCCCGGGACCCTGTAATCTGGTTCCACGTTTGCCATAAACTCAAGGAAACCGCCTCCTTCCACGACGGAGAGGGGAGGGGCGGGGTCGGTGTGTAGCAGGCTGCAGCACTCTGCGCTGCTGGCTTCCTCCAAGTTTACAGTAAAACAAACTGGTGGTGTGATCAATGGTCATTTACAATTATTAATACTATTACTATTATTAGCATTAGTCTATATTTTGGTTGAAACCAAACCAGGAAAAAAAAGAAAAACATAAATATTAATAAAAAAATATATTAATAAAATCGATTTTTAAAAATAATATTCGATTATGGAGACTGTAACGAATAATCGAATAATCGAATAATCGCTGGCATCCCTAACCTGAACAGGAAGTGGTGGAAAGTACAAGATCAGAAACGGCTGTGCTTTGCCTCAATGTGAAATAATTGTGCCATATTACCTTAAATATAGGGTTTTATCTGTGATAATTGTTGCATAATGTGATAAACATTACCTGCTTTCAGAAATAAGAGTCATTATTTGCTTTGGCCTTTACAACTCTCCTAAACACACATTACAGTTAGATGTACCCATGCAGAGAGAGTGAAAGGCAGAGAAAAAGCAGTGAGGGTGAGTAGGAGGAGAGATAAAGAAGAGGGCGGATGTTTGGCAGGCTGCCACCACAAACGGCTCACAGTCGGCGCGGAAACGGAGCCTCTGACCTTTCCTCAGCAAAGACACAAGTTTAACATGTGGGATGATTTAAAATAACTGTTCATCTCAAAAGCCTCTCTTCGTATTTGGGGTTTGGCAAAGTATCCTTTTATTAGTTTAAGATCAGAACGTGAATTTTCCAGAATGGGACATGTTAAAAAGAGACATAAATATATCAGAGTAGCAGTCAGAGGTACTGCTACTCCAACTGTCAGAAAGAAGGGTTTCTTGTCAGTGATAACAGACAAACGACAGTATGGTCAGAGAGAATACAATGGAAAATAAAGTGAAGTCAGGGCAAACACAAAGTTACTGTGCTGTCATGAACACCAACAAAGACTTATTTATTTGGGACATTTGCCGTTGAAACAAGTTGAACTTACAGTGGTGTTTTGAGCTAAATGCTAATATCACAATGTTTGCATGTTCACGATGACTATGCAAATGTACCTACATTCAGAAGTTAAAATGTAAACCATGACCATCATCTTAGTTAAGTGTGTTAGCATGCTAGCATGTCCTTACTGACACTGAACACAAAGTACAGCTGAGGCAATACCTCAAAAACTTTAATTGATAACATTTGAACTTTGACCTGATGACGCTGGATGAAAACTAAGGGCATCACCAGATAAGCGACATATAGATCTGTATAGAATTGTATTGCTTTCATCCAGAAGCTCTTGAGATATTTTGCTTGAGCTGAACAGACTGAGATTGTACTTGCTGCTACTTTAGATAATAAAGAAATATGATTCTGTTATATAATTCAGCATAAATGTTTTAGCTATAACACTGAAACAGTGTTCAATGTCTAAGACTGATAAACTGAATGCTTAATCCCTCGGTCGATATACTTGTATCAGCAGACAGACACTGGCTCACTACTTGGTCATCTTTAATTCAGGTCAGTGAGAACACTGGAGCCCAGTGAAGTGCAACAGAGCCTGGGAACGAGGAAGAAGTCCTGACTCATTGAGCCATCCCTCCATCCTTTCTTTCTTTTTGTTCAGCTCCTCCATCCATCTCCTAACAAGCTGGCAGGATGGTCAATATTCGTGGCCTCCTCCCTGAGCAGGCCCTCTTTCAGGACAGCCATCTTTATTTCTTCAGTGCAAACATCTCTTCTTTCCACCCATCTCTCCATCATGGCCGTCAGAGTCTAAGCAACTCCTGGCATCACTTTATTTTCCTACTTCCACTCTCCCCGCTGCTCCTCAGTGCCGTCCATCATCCTTCCTCCATTTCTGTGTCCAGCTGAGTGGCCAGTATGCGTCTGTATGCTCTTTCTGGCACTGATCCACTTCACCCTTCGGTGGAGAGGACTGAAGGACTGGGCCCGGAGCCAGCTGGCCGGGACTCACTGTAGCTCCGGCACAATAGCAAAAGCCAGGCCACGCAGAGGAGGTCGATGCAGCGAGGATCATGTGCTTTCAGCGGCATTGTCCTCCTCTCTGTCTATATGCCTTAGACATACTGCGGGAGCTTCAGATGAAAGAGTGATTCATTTGCTCAAGACACATTGAGGACTGTTACTTGATTTGTTTGACAAATTAGTTAATGTATGTGTTTTGAGCTGACATATTAGTGATGTTTTACCAGCCAATATAATGTCCTGATAAGCTTCTCCATAAAAGACTGACAACTCCATCAGTGCTAAAAGGGCACTCTTTTAAAATCAACACAAATGAAAAGGATGAATAAGCACTTGTGTTAGCCAATGGCTGCTGTTTACATGTGAGCTGTCAAGGAAGGCAGACTAAAAGTGGAGAAAGTACAGAATGTTAAATATCGAAATTGTGGCCCTTTTAGAAACACAGATATTATAAATGTCCAAACTCTCTTCTTTACTCTCTGACTGTTACAGTATGTGTCTGAAAAATGACTGCCTGGGTGCAGCCTGTAGACATATTGACCCTGCTGACCCTGCAGCCAGTGAATCAGAGGAAGTTCAGACGCAGAGAGGAAAAAAAGAGACAACACAGAGCATCATTGAAGGAACAGTTGATGCTGGGCCAAGACCCTGACAGCTGTGAGCTGAAGGACGCGGCCTGTGTTCAGCTGCAGGAGCAGGGCACAGGAAGCACACGTCTGGTTCAAATAAATTGTTAGTTACCTTTATGTGCCATGCAAACGTGAGCTGCACACAGTATTCATCTGATTTTAGCAATCCTGTTTCTCAAAACCGCTTTCAAGTAAATAATGGTGATGCTATAAAATTAGATTAATGTCGCAACCAGGCAGAGGTGTAGTTGTGTTCACAATCCAATACAAAGACTGCATGGTCCTAGCAAGGTGGGCAAAGGATAGTGTTGTTATATTTATGTGGACAGACTTTGTGTCGCGAACACTACATTTTATGATCATTTTTATGATACTATAAAATGGTACCAACCGTTACAGTGACACTGCTATCGTCTGTTTTCTTTGCTCCACCTACTGTAGCAGGACCTACCACCGAGGCAGATTTCAGTACTTTGCTAATTATTTGTATGTCTCTGGACAGATTTTGTGACCAAACTTGCGTTTCAACCATTTAAGATGCAGTTAAGATACCCTACAGGTAAATGAAGACTGAGTACAAAGATGGGTGTGGTCTGATTAGGGTACCAACAAAGTGGGACAGGAAGTGTGGAAGGGGCCATTGATTTCTATATTAATGTCCCCTGTTTGTTTTCAGGCCTGCAGGGCACATTCTGATTGAACAATTAAGAAACATAACACCTTCACTCCTTCAGAAGAGACCATATAAAATTCTCAAAATATACAATTTATTCAAAATATGTTAATGCAACCATCAATATATTCCAGTAATTACAAAATCAGTAGTATTTTGACTTTATAATCTTATCATTATAGACAACAAGACTTGCAGACAAAACACAAGCGTTGATCTACCATGAGAACACAGGGTATCTTTATAACAGCTGACAGTCCCTTTGTGACTAATACTGACCAGGTCGTAGTTCAAAATGACAATTTAATATGATTTCTATGTTGTTAGCAAGGAAGCAGAACTGACATTTGAGGAATGGATTTCACAGGAAGAATAATCATGAACTGGACTAACTTCAGTGAATTTCGGCTGACTCATATCAATATGATGTCAAAGACATTTCTTAATAAAAAAAATAAGGATCCAAAATACATGATAGAGGAATCACCCCGACTGTGACTTGATGTGTACTTCCTTTAATTGAGTAAAAAACCTGACCGTCGCAGAAGAAATGACCGCAGATGCTGGTCAAAGGAAAAGCAAGAAAGAACATAATGAGAGTGAAACCTGGATGCAGTGGAATTTAAGGATCGATTTGACATTTTCTAGAATACTGAGGGGGGGAAGGGGGGGGGGTCTACATAGACTCCCGAATCCCTAGCACTGTTCATCAATGGGAAATTGTATTCTCCTAAAAGTTCCTTCACAGTAACAACAATAACATGTAAAAGCAGTTTATGGTAACAACAGATAAGGGGATACTAATACAAACATATTTACAAACGCATCTGTACAAATATTTGACACTGTACAGTTGATGTGGCGGGGGTAAAGCGTTAGTGGCATTGTGGGTAATCACATGTTAAAAGGGGTTGGACTTAAGGAAAAAACACATCTGTTAGGACGAAGAAAGTCTTGCACCAGGGTTTTTAAATTCCCATATTTGTTCATTTTCAACTCATGGAAGACTCTTTGGCACTCACAAGCAGATTAGATGAGCTGTTTTTAGATGCAAAGAGTAACACAACATTTTGGGAAATATGATTATTTGCTTTCTTGCAGAGACTTAGGAGATTGACAACACTCAAGCTTCTTAAATAAAAAGCTTAAGTGGCTTTGCAAAAAGGTAAAAAACTAGTCAACACTCATGATTTCACAACCGGAAAAGTAATAAATACACTGTTGCCCATAAAGTTGGAATAATTTAGTTTTCAGAGACATTCCTCTTTTTATTCCAATTTAAACACACAATACTATCATGAGGTAAAAAATAATTTATTCCAACCCTATGGGCAACAGTATACTATTGGGTGTAAGATTAAGGTGGTTTGGTATCAGACATACTGGCCTGAGTATTAGTCACAGGGGTGAGCTGAAGTTCTGCCTGTGCGTTTCTTGCTACGAGTAGTCAACATGTCTGCTTTGAAAAGGGTATTTTAATGCTTTATTTATTGTTTGTCTAATCTGTAAAAAAAACACAACCAAAACACGTTGTTGTCCCAGTTCGCTTATGTGCCGGATTAGTCAATTAACCAAAAATACCTGGCCAAGAAAATAGTTGAGGGGCAGGTTTTCTTTTGAATAGAGCCAGACTAGCTGTTTCTAAGCTAAGCTAACCAGCTGCTAGCTCCAGTTGCATATTTTTGGACATGTTTTAACTCCCTGTCCCAAAAGTCCACACCGAGGTGGGGAAAAGGGTGTTTAGTTACACTGCTCCATTTGATTGGAACAAGCTGCAACATGGACTTATCTTAGGGAGCTGGTCTCTCTAAGTGCTGCTCAGTGACCGAGAAGCACTCTGTCTCTTGATGATTTGTATAATGATGTTCCTGATGTGACCATATGTTCTCTGTTTTCTGTTATTGTTTTTAATATGTGTTCTTTCACTGTGCTGCTGCCTATCTTGGCAAGGACTCTCTTGCAGAAGAGATTTTGATTCTCAATGAGACTTTCCTGGTTAAATAAAGGTTAAATAAGACATGACAGCGCTATTGATCTTCTTATCTAACCTTCTGCAAAAAATAACATTTCCCAAAAGGTCACACTATTCCTTTAATTAGGCAGATTAGCTACTTTTAGTACTTGTTTTTGTATTTTATGTTGAACCCATGATGCATTCAAGGACACCTGACATAATGGTGTGCTACATATCAAATCCATCTTATGAAAAATAAATACTGAGGCAAGCATACAATTCCATGTGTGTTTTCAGAACATACTATACTTACAGTAATTCAATACACAACATTTACAACTTCAGTTAATAAAACAATACAGTGACTGGGAGAAGATAAAGCCACACAATGGCCACCAGAAGAAACAACCTAAAACATAAACAAATAACACTGTTATTTGTAGTGACACATTATGAAATCCTTCCTGATAGGATGGCTTGTTTATGTAATCTGTTCATAAAGCAGACAGTAACACTGGCTTACTTCTATCAGTTTGATTTTCCATGTCAGAAGCTGAACGTCCTCCAGCTCATCTCACATCACATTCATGCTCTCCACACACCATCCAGATAATAAATACACTCAACTTTAGGAACCATAATGTTTGTTTTCTCTACACATTACATTAATTTCATAAATAAAGTCATTTACAGCCATTTCAACCATGTTTACTTAAATGATCTGAGCACAAAATGGGTTATGCATCAAACGGAGCATGACCTGTCAGTTCAGGTTTGATATGAGAGGACGGTGAGGTGAAGTAGAGTGACAGTAAAAAAGTGCACAACTTAACTCTGACATGTTATCCCTCGCTGCAGGAGTATACTTCCTGAATATGTAATACTGTTTTATGGCATTCCTTCCCTTTACTTATGCAGGCAGCACTTTAACATGACAGATATTTGAAAGAGACTTCACAGATCTCGTTTTGCTACGTTTCACTGTTTGATATGTTGTACAACGACATCGTGTACTGCGACACATCTGGACCGTCCTGTGATGGCCTTTTGAACAGAAATATGACAAAAAAGGAGAACATTATAGTTTGACAACAATGCAAGTTCTTCTTGAAGATAATGTTTGATGACATGATAACCATCCGTATTGAGGGGGGGGAAAACATATTCTTCACCTCAGAGGGCAGAACATGCACCATGTACCTGGAGATCTTCTCTTGTTTTCTGACTTAAAATCTTTGAAACTTCCTGGTGAAAAAACCTGTTTACACTTTGAATCCTAAAAGGTCCACAGCGGACAGCAGGGCCACACTCTTTCTGTCTTTTTGTCTTTTAGAGAGACTCCGTAAGGAATTTTAATCCAAGTGACACCTGGAAGAAAACCAGTAGCACTGCTCGGCTCCTTTCGTCCTCTGTGCTACACAACATGCCTGCTTTGGGGAAAGATGTCTCCAATTGTAGCAGGAGTCACATGACGGCAGGGAGGGACAAGGATAGGTCTCTAAACTCTCTGCAGGCCAGCCATTTTCTCTGGGAGACGTTTAAAGGAGGGGAGGAGAAGGATGTTAATAGGAAACTCCCTCTCTCCTTCCTTCCTTCCTTCCTTCTACAGCCCATTCCTCACTTTTTTGTGCAAACACTTCCTGATCTGTCAACAGTCACATGACCAGGTTGCTATGACACGCAGCAGCAGGTCCGCACGTTGGGCTGCTCTTCCTCTATTGGCTGTTTCAGTTTGAGGAGGGGCGGGTCCCCGCTGGCCGGCGTGTAGTAAACCGCGTTGCCATTGGAGGAGACCAGCGGCATGCGGGGGTCCTCGGAGTTGTTTTTGGCATCAGTGAAGGAGTCTGTGGAGCCGTTACCTAGGTGACCGTTGAACAAGGGATGACTCAACTGTTTGGCCGCGGCCCTCTGCTTCTTGAGCTCTGACAGAGTCTGAGCGCGCTCTCTGGGGCCGTCCTCCTGAGAGGAGGGTTCAGGAGACGCCGTGTTGCCATTGGAGGGCGGTTGCGGCGGCGTGGACGTCGTTGTGGAGATGAGCCCGTTCTGTTTGCTGCTGTCTTTGAGGATGGTGGGCAGCTTGGGCTTGTCCGGCAGCTCCACAGCTACGACTGGCTTCACCTGCAGGACATCAGACAGATCTCTGTAATCTGAGGTTTCTCTTTTAATTGATTCAAAACGGCCATGCATGGGGTTGACATATCTTTGATTTGGGGAACAGGCTAAAAATGAAATTATGTTAAGAAGATATTTTAACATATAAGATATATATTCTCCCTTCAGTGAAACTTGGTGTATATATAGCTTTCAAACTCTGATCAATCAATCACTTTACTCGCACTTGGATTAGGACTAATGTTTATGTTTTTTGTTTTCTTTGTACTGTTTCTGATTTTATGTAAAGTGTCTTTGAGTATTTGGAAAAGCGCTATATACCAGCGGGTTTTTTTCGTAACAAAAGCTTGAAATGTACCATTCTGTCTCAACGTACTTGCATTTCTGATCATCATTTCTCTTAAAGCCCATTGCTCATGAGAGACTGTCAGTGTGCAGATGATAACTAAATCATACACTAGAGATTAGAATTAGAGGAAGACAGATATTTCTTTCCAGAAGAGAAAAAGCCCCTGCAATACTCAGAAACTATGTAACTCTGTTGCATTCTTATCTTTTGAGTCTTGTATCACTGGAGGATTGTGTTGCAGATTTTTTTCCATTGTGGGTTTCTTCCTGTGTGACAATTTTTAAGGAAACTCTGACACATTTCTTCAGAAATCTGATGTTGCACTCCTGATGTGTGGGAGAAATAATATTTCTATTTTTCTAGATTCACTTTAAATATCTAGGTCATGTCAGGTCAGCAAGTTAGATCCAGGAAGTTAAAACATACCCCATCAGACAACAGAAGTACCAGAAAACACAAGATACATTCTCAAATGCTATGAAACAAATATAATTATGCATAGGTTTATCTCATTCTAAAAACAAAGACACAGGGAAATAGAAAAACAAAAGACTCACTTTAATCACCTGGTTGTTCTCCTGATCCGACTCCTTCTCTTTCTCCTCCTGCCCCTCCCTCCCCCCCCTCCACACGATGGCCTCCGTCTCGTACTCTTTGCGGCACAGGTTGTGTCTGTCCGACAGGCTGGCTCGCCGCACCACTTTTCTGTGGAGTAGACAAGAAACATGCCAACTATAAGGAATAATGCACTTTCTAAGCAATTGAACATCATAAAACAATTAGTCTTATACTACACTGTCTTTCTTTACAGTTGAAGATTAATGGCTGCTCTGCCTATCTCAAAACAGTCTACAGTAAATATCAGAGATAAGAGGGTGCACATTAAAAAGACACTGCACTGATGGCTTCTCCGTTAACAAGGATTTCTCAATAATTAAAATGCTGCTCTTTATCTTTTCTTTTGTCGGATTTGCCCTCTCTGCTGATCTTTCCTGTCTCTTTGGGTAAAACAAAAGTAAATAGACAAAGGTAAATACAATTTGCAGTATCAGCGTAACACCAGCAGATGTCAGCACTCACCCTCGGCTGCCTGCGCTGGACGTCCTCCTGCACAGCGACGTCTTGTGTTTGAGCTGTGACTTCATGATAATGTCATGTTTGTGTTTCAGGTCCAGCAGGATGTTCCTGAACTCCTCATCCTCACACAGATCTAAGAATGAGAAAGGATGAAGGGCAGGAAATGTCAACTCAAACTCAAATTAGAAAGTTTGTTGTGCTTTGATATTCTTTTAGAAACAAAAACAAAACCAGGATTATAAAGAACATTAGTTTGAATTTTTACAATTTTTTTTACACACTGACTGTTAACATATAATTGATTAGTAACATTTCTCCATTTTACAATTGACTGACCACCAAGACTGCCAAAAATGTAAAAAGCTGATATATCAAAGTTACAGTAATCAAAGTGTGAGTTAAGTGTGCGTTACTCTGCTTTATGTTTCTGACAGTGTTCCTAATTTATTTAATCTTTCATTTTATTAAAGTATTGATAAATGTTGCAGCCAATTACATGTTGTGTTATCGTTTTGAAAACTGGATGACGTCTCTGTTCAACGGGGTATTTAAGATTGATTGGGGTTGTCATGAGTTTTTGGATGATAATAATATATGGAATTTCAAGCAAGAACTTCGTCATCATTGGAGAGTGCAAACGTCCAACAACAAAATCACAGTTTAGCAATCCCTCAGTGATATTGATTGGCAATAGTCACCACAATAGTATGTTATTTTCAACTTTTATGTTTAGCTATTTCTTCATTTTCCAGTGATGTTTTTTCTATTGTCATAATGTGTATATTGCTGTATGTTCACCCAATAGAGGATTCAGGGATGTATTTGTATGTGTTCCTTTTTTTTAATCCATAAATGCTTACAAAAAGTGAAAAAGCTGTTTAAACTAGTCAAGAAAATAGGCTAAAAATGGTTTAAAATGGCCTCATGAAGATTTCAATCAGCATTTAAACAGAACAAACTGGTGGAATGAGATCATGCCGAGTGAGACATTGGTTTTCTTAACCTCCCACCAGGTGTATTGATAGGAGCGCTGAGGTGTAAATATACCGATGGGGGTCTCCTCCAGGAAGGTCTTGGCGTTGAGGCTGGCTCCGTGAGACACCAGCAGCTCCGCCACATGCATCTGCAACAGCATCAATAAAAGCAGATCACATGACTGCTGCCAGAAACATTTGTGTGTGTGCCTTTCTGTTTCCTGTGGTGTTACCTTACCTGACCCCAGCACGCTGCAGCATGGAGGGGCTGCCATCCATCCGAGTCTCTGAGGTCCATGCGACCCCCCCCCCTCCAGCAGCAGCTCTGCAGCCTGCACGTATCCACTGGCTGCTGCGATGTGGAGCTGAGGACACAGGAGGAACAAGGAGTAGATTAGTCAGTGAGCATGGTTTACTATACATTCGCTCTGTGCATCAAATCCAGTACGGAGTTCACACTTATAGATGCCAGAGGATAATGTACTTCTACTATTAACACAAAAATGCTGACAAAACCCTACACCTGCAAAGATCTAATCATCCGAGAAAGTGGATGTGTCACTGGGCTCCTTTCATGCCCAATGTTTTGTCAGATTAGGTCGGCAGTATTGTAAAAAGGCTCTGCTGTCATTTCAATCTGACAGGAGGATGCTGGGTTCAGCTATTCTGCAGTTTGTAAACTAAAGTGCCGTTAAAGTTATGAAACCCCCTGCTGGCCTCTGCTCTGGAGGTCAGACACTACCTTGATGAAGAAACGATTATACCAGGAGGTTTATTATCACATCTTTTGTATCAGGATCTTAAATAAAAACCATTAAACCTCTCCGAATCACAGATAGGCCAGTCGGTACAAACTTGTGTTTCCAAATAAACCAAATATGTCAAGCTGAAGGCAAAGCAAGTTTATTTATATAGCACCTTTCAACACAAGGCAATTTAAAGTGCTTTACAAAAATGAAAGACATTAAGAGCATTACAAAATAGTGCAGTCAAAACACATTATAAAAGGGCAGAAAATGGCTGACAAGTGACATCTTAACCAGCTAAGCGAAAGGTATTTAATTAGCTGTTTTAGAAAACAGACAATTCATCCATAAATATTCACATTTGAGAAGCTGAAGTCAGTAATCATTTGGATATTTTTACCTAAAAAAATGAATACTTGCTTGTTGAAACTGCTAGGGGTGATTCAATGGATATTTGATTTTTCTAGCCTGCAAATCTGTCTGACCCGTGTCATTAACAGAAATGGCAATGCCCGCCTTCATCTAATCTGCAATAGATTATCGATCTTGTTGCAGCATAAGTATGGACGGTAACACACACACACACACACACACACACACACACACACACACACACACACACACACACACACACACACACACACACACACACACACACACACACACACACACACACACACACACACACACACACACACACACACACACACACACACACACACACACACACACACACACACACACACACACACACACACACACACACACACACACACACACACACACACACACACACACACACAGATCTTTGAGAAGCTGACCTGTTTAAGTGGATGTTTATTTACAACGAGAGAAGGACATATCTGAAACGTATCAGGCATGTTACGCTCCATCAGTTCCTGCAGGGCTCAGCAGCATTAGATTTGAATGCATTTCAGAAAGTGCCACTTCCTGGAGAGACTGGACATGTGCACGATTGTCCATATTTCTAAACAATATTGGATCTCCCCCCTCTCTAAGATGGAAAGCTTTTCACTCGGCCTTCCAAGTGGAGGAACCAGCAGCTTTGCCGTCAATAGAGCCAAAAGTTGGTCTGACATTTTTTTTGCAATGATTTTCTCAAAGCAGTTTCCTCAATATCAACAACAACCTGACTTGTTTAATCCAGTTTTGGTCCAATAACCTTTTTTGGATAATAAAACTATAACTGTTTTTCCACATAAAATGAACTGGCTTTAGGCATTAGGTTGAAGTGATCTACGGCATTTTACTTTACTCAATCATTTCCCTTTTCTTCCCACGGCTCCTTGAATGTTTTTGACAATAGTCTAATAGATTCAAGCACTTTCATTGACCCATGTCTATTTATATGTTGTGCAAAAATAGCAATGAAAGTCATTTTATTTTCAAATTGGCCTTGAATTTGATGTTTAAGTAGGTGTCGAAGCCCTGATTGTTTGAAGTGATTTTTTATTTGTGTTCATTTCTTACATTTAACTGAGAGAACTTTAAAAAATGAGTGTGATCAACCCGTTTTAACCTCAGGGATAACAATTGTTTGTTCGCATCAAAACAAATAAATAAAATATACTTCAGGAGAAAACTAAAACATTAGCCTCACATACACTTCCTACCAGTTTCAGGTTTCTTCCTCTCCTCTCTGACACAGATTCAATAAGGCCTGCTCTAGTTCGCTCCATCTTGCCCAAACAGGAGGGGACAAGCAGCTCAATCAGACAATCTGTGGTCAGACTTTAGAGCTTACCAGGGTTATTTTGGGCTACTACCATGTCATGTCCCCTGGCTATTTTCATCCAGTGATCTGTCACGTTGTTTTCCCAGCGTAGATAAATCCTTGATACACAATTAAAAATTAATTTCGCATCATAAGCCCTACTCAGGAAATACTAGCTAATGATTTTTTGTGACCCATTTCTATAGCATTAGTGCACTAAACTCTTAATACAAATTCACTTTAGAAAATACACTTCCCCAATAAAACTAAAACAAATGGCCTATCATCAGAGGAGCATGCGGCTGTGAATCACTGCTCAAACTAAATTGTCTTGTAGCTCTTTTATGATGCATTTGACATAGCTTAAAGCAGCGGTAGCCAACACGGTGCCCGCAGGGGCAACGTGAGTCGCCCGCGGGGCATGTTCTAAAAATAGCTCGCCAAGCAAATCCAAAATGTAAAAAATACACAAAACAAAAAAGGAAATGTAATTAAAATAATCTACCCTCCCTATGAATAACCGAAACCTCAATCATAGCGAACTCTATCTACTTACTACAACTCTATATCTATCTAACACCCCTCCTCCCTCCACCTCCACAATGAATATCGACCAATCACGCTCTTGCTTGATTTGCGGGACCAGCGTTGCAGTCGGGAAGAAAAGCAATGTGGAGCGGCAGATCCCCGCTTCATAAGGAGTGTGACCGTGATTTTCCTTCTGGCAGAATCTACACAACACATCAGCCCCATTGAACAGCCTAGTCGTGCCAGCCTATACAGCACATGAGGGGCAGAGTTTTACTCTGTGTGTGTTGCAACTTGCATATTTATTTATTGCACTTGATGCACACACACGCATGGCGTAATTTCCACTGGGGACAGGGGGGACATGTCCCCCCAACTTTTCGAAATCCCGTTTGTGTCCCCCCACTTTACAAATATGTTTATTATATTTTTTTAACGCAAGCCGTCATCGCCACGGAGGAGCACACAGCCTCTGTGAGCGAGCGAGACAGAGAGAGCTAGGGAGAGCACACCTTTATCTATTTAATATAGATAAAGTAAGAAATCATTCCAATGTGTACTATAGGACAGTAACAAAACAGTTTAAAAGGGGAGTGATTAGTAAAATATGCATAAAGAAAAAGAAAGAATGCTAACTAGGTAACATAAGATAAGTTTAAATGATTTGTTATTGGTTGTGATCATATTCTAAAGATGTTTGGATTATTGAAAAGTATACAGCTCCCTTTCATCTGAGTGTTGAGAGCTGTATCCATAAATTCATTTTGTGCTCAAAGTGCACCAGATTGATGCATTTAACTTCAACATTTAAAAACAAATCTTCCCGGGGGTGCATGCCCCCGGACCCCCCTAGAGGATGTGAGGTCCACCCCCAAATAAAGCAGGTCAAAATAATTAAATTGCATACATTTTCTTTTAGTAAACACTGAAACCGGGTCCCACAGACCCAAACGGCACACGAAGGTTAAAGGTCAGCATATAATAATGTTAAAATGTGCTAAATATATACACTGCAAAAAACAAAACAAAAGAGGAGTAAAAGTAGCCCCCGACTTGTTTTATTTTTTGAAAGTAGCTCCCATCCTAAAAAAGGTTGGTGACCCCTGGCTTAAAGGAACATGGGCAGAATTATTGTTATTTGATTGCCCTAGCAATGCAACCTAGAGTAGCTTTGTGAAACTATAATGTGTTTTTGTTTGAATATGTTTGTCCTCATGTTATTGCTCATAATAACACCGACATCTTTACGTTCTTGATTTACATTTCATAACTCAAGCTTTTTGCTTATTGATTAGGCTCATGATGGGTTGTGTTTCATTTCAGATAGTCTTAATACTAAGTAAATGTACGACTTGAATCAGTGTTTGTATTCAGTGATTTAATGATTCCCATTCACTTCTTATAATGTGTTCAGGCGTACATATTTATTATTAAAGGTTTATTCTAATGTACCGTTACATCCTTTTAGGATTACGACTGCAGGTGTATTCAGCGCTCGTGAACAGATCGTTTTAATACCTGCAGCTTTTTTAAATCACACATCTTATTTGCCTTTAAGAACATATTCATGAGTCAGTAAAGGCCTGATTAGCTTTAACGGTTTATCACCCCCTCATGAGACAGCGCTGCAGGGCGCATAATCAATAAAAGGTACATCTATTATAAAGATAATCCTCTGAATATTTACACACCCTTCCCTTAGTCCTCTCAGTGCAGACCACTGATAATCTCTTTCTGCAGCACTTTAAAAAAGAACAAAAAAACACTCATAACCTGTTAAACCTGACGGGTCTGCTGGCTATTATTATGGCCCCATTACATCGGTCCAGTGTTCAGAATCTCTACAGCTGCAAGTGAATTGTCAATGATGTCTAAACAATTATATTTGCCAAACTACTTTACTTTAGTCATGACCGAAAGAACGAGATCGCGGATACAAGCGGCCGAGATGGGTTTTCTCCGCAGGGTGGCTGGCGTCTCCCTTAGGGATAAGGTGAGAAGTTCAGTCATCCGGGAGGGACTTGGAGTTGAACCGCTCCTCCTTCGCGTCGAAAGGAGCCAGTTGAGGTGGTTCGGGCACCTAGTAAGGATGCCACCTGGGCGCCTCCCTAGGGAGGTGTTCCAGGCACGTCCAGCTGGGAGGAGACCGAGGGGTAGACCTAAGACCAGGTGGAGGGATTATATCTCTTCGCTGGCCTGGGAGTGCCTTGGGATCCCCCAGTCAGAGCTGGTTGATGTGGCCAGGGAAAGGGAAGTTTGGGGCTCTCTGCTACCTCCGCGACCCGACCACGGATAAGCGGGAGAAGATGGATGGATGGATGGATGGAAACTACTTTAGGATCATGTCTGTCTGATTGTAAAATTCATACTGAAATATTGGCTGCTCTAATAAATCCTGGTGTCCGTGGCAACAACACTTAAGTGTCGATGCACACTTACGTCCTGGATCTATGGAAGATCCCTGTCTGCTGACAACACAAGCTGCTGCTATAAAGTAAACAATCTGTGTTGCTGACTGTAGTGAGTACCTTTATTTTCTTTGAACCTTTTTTAAACAAAAACTGTATTAAAACTGATTTAAATATAAGTATTGTACATGGTCCCCTACAAATACATTTGAAAAGATCAATACAAAAAAACCTGTAATACACTATTTCTCCTTTATTTTTTTGTATGTAATTGTATTGTATTAGTGTTCTGATGTTGACAGTTTCCGTATACCCAGGTCCTAGAAGAGGACACATTTGGTGGCTTTAAATCCAGACCTGTAGAGAAAGTTGAAATGACCGGAGCTCACCAGAGTGGCTCCCTGAGAGTCCTGCATGTTGACCTCCTCTCCCTGATTCATCAGCTCCTGCACGTCTCCCAGCATCCTCCTCTCTGTAGCGGCTCGTGTCTCGTTGATCATCTCCTGGGTGATGCCTGTCAATCAAACGCACAAGCAGAACCGCAGCTTTAATCACAAGGCGGACCGTTTTCCTCCCGACAGCTTTGATACGCAGCGTGCTGACAGGGCGAGTTTATCACTGATCTGAGACAAGCTGGGTATAACGGACAGGGACACAGCACAATGCTTGTATATCAAACTAACTTCAAAAAGTTATACAGAAAAACTCATTTACTGGATTGACAGGAACATCTTCTTTAAATTACACTGGAGGTTTTCTACAAGCAACGGTTCACGAGGTCCCCGATAAAAGCTTCTCAGCAAGTATTAAACAATTGTAAGGTTTTAAAATAGGTTTTACAAAGGAAAGTTTTACTGGAGCGGACTAGGGCTGCACGATTTCAAAAAATACCTAATTGTGATCATTTTGAATGATATTTCTATTACAATATAGGAGGGATGGATCCTTTTTCTGCATCATTATTCTCACCCTCATTGAAGAATATTTCAAAATCATCATGATATTATTTTTTGAGGAGGATTTGCACCAAACAAATATGTTTTGGTAAGTTGCTCAAATATAATTTGTAGTCTGGGATATCTCTGCAGCTCACCAATACTACATAAAAAATGCTAATTTAAAACGTTAACATTTTTTTGCTTCGTGTGATTTGAATATTGCACAAGCTGCAATCTTATATTTTCGATTAATAAACACTGATTTTTAAAAAAGCATTCTATAATAGCCACACTCTTAATAAAAATACATTAATAATGTTAATTGTTGAAGGAAATAGTTTATTTTCAAATAATTTCTTCATTATTTTTTTTAACTTGGAAACACAGGTAAATGAAAACAGAGCTGCCTACAGTTCAGCTTTTGGATCTCAAATATCTGCCACTTAGAAAAATCAGTCCTCTCTTTTCTCCCTCACAGTAGTTTGCTCTCACGCTGCCTTCTGACCATCCTGTGCCGAACAGTGTCGAGGTGTTAGGCCCGGTTGAGGCTCAGGTGATTCTGACTGTCACAGCTGCTCTAAATTCCTCCTTTAATCCATCGCATCGCTGCCAGGTAGGACTCAGTACTGTGACCGCCTCACTCCTCTTCTCCCCCCACAGCTCAGCAGTAACGTCCCGTACGGCACATTTAAAGAAAGGCCAGATTAACAATAAGGAAAACAGCCAGAACTGTGACTCCTATATTATTGCGTGTGATTGGATATGTGAATGACTTAAACTACAACAAATCAAGAAGTGTGAATGGAAATAAGATTGAGTTCCATAATTTAAAAAATAAAACAAATATTTAGATTTTCGTTTTAAGTAAAAGTGACAGCAGCAGGAAATAATAGTTACAATATTCACAGGGATTAGAAGCATAACATTTTTGAGGAGTATTGGAGACAATCCCCAGAAACCGTCTGCTTAAACATGAGATAAAAAGTAGACAAGCATCACGTGACTGTGCATATGTTATCGTCAGTATTTCAGCCCTATGACCTTTTACCTTGACACAGAGGTATAAATTGAACCTTGGCGAGTAAAGCTGAAGGCAAATCTATCCTCTCAGCCTGCAGCCCGTCACTTTAAAGTCAGGCTGCTGTTTTAGTGTTATCTACGTGGTGGTTAGGGGTTCTGAAAAATGTTGAGGAGGTAAACCGTTACTTCTCTCTTTACACTCAGAATCACAGCCCGAAGGTGTGTGAAGGCGCAGGAATCAGTACAACAAAACCATTTGACGTCTTAAATGAAATGCACCCCTCCAGCTATGTTGTTCTGTTGTTTCTGCTAGCAATCATCCGCGCCTTTGGTTTCCGAAATGTTTTGATTTAGCTACAGTGATGCCCCACAGCATTACAATGGCCCAAAGGATTAACACATGTTTATTATAGCATGCAGACTCATTGTCACACAATACAAAATGTAGTTAACCGGGAAAAAAAACTGTCAATGTATCATTGAATAAATAAGAAAAAAATATTTGATTTTAAAACATATTTTTCTAGACTAAAGTATAGTGTTGTCCTGCAGCAACACATTTAAAAGGCTGATTTGTTCACAGATGGCGGCATAGTTAGCACACAACTCCCCTCTGTAAGTATTTTAACAAACAGCCAATCCCAAAACAGGAGGTACCTTTAGAGTTATACAATCTCAATTACCTCTACTATCGAAATGTAGGTTTTAATGAGGTATGTTTTGGGGGATTTGTCTAAAAGTCTTATCTCAAAATGTGATGCGATTTTGGGCCTCACTTGGAAGAGCTGGTGGCCCATTGGATTATTATTTTGATTGTTAATTATTAACCCTCTTTTTCTTTTTTCAAAGTGATGTCAGCAAATTGATTTTGTTTTGTCCAAATAACCGTAAATTATACGTGAGGATTGAGATATTTCTTATAGTGGACTATATCAATACATTATTTTATTTATTTATTATTAATTATAATCATAAAAACAGAAAATCAGGAAACCCTTAAATGTGAGAAGTTTCAAGAAACAAATAACCATACATTTCATAATATAAATTACGGAACGAATGAATATTTATCCATGAATTTAAGATTTTTGAATTAAATACTATTAAGTGGTTGATTACATTTGGAGCAAAATGCCATCAGCTGTGTGTTTTTTCTGCTCTGCACCCCCCACTCTATTTCCCCGGTCCAGTTTCTGGTAAATGTATTTCTGGTATCACTGCGTATCATCACAGATGAACTGTATCAAACAGGGGGGGAGGATCAAGGAAGAGTCAGTTGATGCTGCATATCAAGTCTGTGTGTGTGGGTGCGTGCAGGTGTGTGCAGGTGTGTGTGAGGGAAAGAGAATGGTGGTGTGCCCATCCCTGAGGTGTCTCTGGAGAGAGGAGGTTTATCCAGCAGAACAGTGCAGTGAACATTAGAGGAGCAATTAGCAGCAGCGCGCTCCCTTTGATCGGCTTAATAATCATTCTTCTCACCTACTGTACCGATATCTGCATTCTGCCGCTCCAGAGATCACATAGTAAACGGTGAACATCATTTTTAGGCGCTCTCTGTTTTCCCTCTCCATCCCCCAGCCTCTCTCTCTTTGTCTTTCCAATATCATCTCACATCCAGAAAGCAACCCTCACAATGTGCTCTATTTAAACTGTTAAAATGATAAACGTCGCACTGGTGCAGTATTTACCATAACACATATTTTCTCTCCTTTAATTGTCGAGGGAAATATGACTGAGCTCCCATAATGCCCCTCAGCAGCACCCTGCTTCCACACAGTTTCCTCCTGTTTACCTCTGAGCAGCTCCACTGAAGCATTTACTTTGAGGCTGAAGGGCACCTTGGTCATGGAAAATTCCTGTATTATTCTACCTTCCCTTGTTTGCTAATGCTTAAAATATTGTCAGCAAAAAAGATGAATAAGACTGTAGTTTGGTAAGCCACAAGTTGCCCCCAAAAGTGCATCCCTAAAGGAAAACTAAAAACCTCAGGTCCTGTTCCAGAAGAAATCCACATTCAAAACATTGTTGACATGCATCACAATGGTTATAAATAAAGTTGTGGACAGGAGCCTCTCTCAACAGTAGTCTTTGTGCCTCGCTTCTTTTTGACTTTTTTCTTCCATGGTAGATTGTAATGACTGGCTTTTTTTTTTTATTGAGTTACAGCCGATAGTGAAGATAAGTGAAATGTCCCATTTTCCTACCAAAGCTAATATAGGGAGCTAATTTGGTCGTAAAATATTAAACTATTCATTTAATCAGACCACATTTGAGCTGCCAGTCAGTGCCTTCACACTGCATCACTCCTCTACACTCAAAGGCCCCGCAGCCACAGATTTTGCTGCTTTGTCTCCAACTGTGTGTTCACACGGCAGCCTGTAGATGTAACTGCTTACTAGAAAACAAAAACAAAACATTGACAAGAGCTTATGTTTAGAAGGCTGGGTGTGATTTAACTCTAGTGTAAATAAAGCTGTCTGTCACATCCGAGTCTCTTTGCAACAGTTTTTATCGAATCACACAAACACAGGCAGAAATGTGAACACTTCTGAAACACAGCATGAGTTTCCCCTCTCCCCTCACTGATGTATGTCGGTGCTGATCTCCTTGAACTCTCAGTCACGGCACGCAGGCAAACTGTACAGACTGTGTTTGTTTAGTGATACAGCATGAATATATACAGTCTCACAATCTGCACCAGATCCGGCGTGAGAGAACTGTGAATACCCCAAAAGCTGTCCATCCTGAAACTCTCTCACACACTTCCATTGAGCACACCATCCTCCTCAACAATCTGTTCTTGTGGTCCGTATACTTTAAACACTGACAGTAGCTCCTTTGTCCTGCAGTTTATGTTAAGTAAGAATTATAAGACTAGACTTCTCGGTTAAAGTTGTGATATTTCATCAAAATCACTTTATTCTACATGTCTTTTAAAATGTTGCCAAAAATAAATAGTTTGCAATCACCAGATCATGTAAAAAATAAAAACATTAAATTCTGCACTTCTAGGCTCAACTCTGGCTAAAGACCAACAGTCATGTGACAAAAACTGAATTCAGATTAGAGAGGAAAAGAGAAATTCAACTTTTCCCCCCGTTTCTAGCCATGAGTCACCTGTTCGAGATACAGTGGTCTGCAGGAACAAATAGCGCTCTGAAACCCTTTGTGGTTGGAAGGGTTACAAATGATTAAATGGTCAAATTATAATAATTGGTATAAATTAGATTGAATTGCCATAATATTGAAAAAAAGTAAAAAGCATACTCCCCATGATGGCAATAATCAGATGACAGATATTAGGATATTTTATGATTATGATATCTTTATAAAAGTTTTTGAACAAACAAAAAAAACAGTGCTTATCAACTGAGAGCAAAAGCCTAAATATTCTGTCCATGGAGCCTGGTGTCTGCGTTGGGATTTCTCTCTCTATTTATTCCGTACCTCTGTTGGCCATAGCTGTCTCGATTATGTCCAGTGTTGGGTCGTCTTCACAAAGGTCGTACGGCATGTTGCCATCAGAGTTGACTGCCAGCAAATCTGCACCACTGTGGGAGAAAAGCACATACATGAGCAACACTTACAAAAAACATTTTAATTTCATATAGGCTAGTACATTCTCTGAATATGCATCATCTAACAAGGCAAACATGAGGATTATATGTGGTTTAATAAATTGCATTTGAAGGCATCATATGTGAGCCAAATAGACACAAAGTAAAACACTTTTGATTAAAAAAGACCAATATTAGACAGTTTGATATATCATTTCCTGTTGTCAGATAATTTGTTTGTTCATATGGACAACACATTTAATCCTTGTATTAAACAGGCCTGTATTTCATATTCTGACAGTTCCAAAGAAAAACTGAAAAACAAATCTGATCCATAACTCACAGAGTTGGAGAAAATAAACCTCAGTTGGAGCACTAAGTGACCATGCTAATTAAAATCTTCAGAAGGCATTATTCAGCTGTTTTCAATCAGGGAACTCACTGGAGAGTCCAAGTGATGTGATGAGTGGCTCGACAAGTCCTGCCTGTCAACAGGTGGCAGCAGTGTGTCTGAATAGTGTGTGTGTGTGTGTGTGTGTGTGTGTGTGTGTGTGTGTGTGTGTGTGTGTGTGTGTGTGTGTGTGTGTGTGTGTGTACATAATCTTCATTTAGTCCTTATTGTGCACTTCTCTTTGTGTGTACATGCTATTATATTATAGGATAATAATTCAATCCCAATTAACATGCAACTCTATACAGTTCTTATCCTACATGTTTATGTGTGAATGTGTCAGACAAAATAAATAAAAAACACTTCAGGACACTTTTCCCTCTGATAAACCAAGTATCTTTGAACTGTGATTTACATTTAAATAAAATTAAAAAAAAGCCAAAAACATAAAGCGTCCTAGGGCTCTGAGATAATTCAATTTGACTCTTTATTGATTATTATAATATCATGTTTACCAGTTTCTGCTGTCTAAAAGACGCCAAGCAAAATGTAATTGAACCTGACTTTTTGATCTGATCCAACAGTCCAGTCAAATTATCAATAATATTTAATATTCGTTTTTATACATTTGCCTGACATACAGTATACTGATCAGAAAAATAACATTGAGATACAACTTTGATATCATCTTCTACATACAGTATCTGTAAAGTTTCCTGAAAGCCTCTTGCACACTTGTGATGATATCACTAAAACAAAATCTGACCACACACAGACAGAGCTAAATGAAAATGGGGAAGAGACTCAAGACTTCCTCTGCCTACGTTCTGCCATGATGACTCACAAGGTCAAAACTATACGAGTGTCGCTGTGACAGCTGGTAAATATGCCTGTTGATTCAGTGTGTGTGTGTGTGTGTGTGTTGTTAATTGGTATTTGGAAGCGGCAAGCATTGCACATTAATTCAGTCTGATCCAGCTGGTCAATACGCACTTTAAACTAACTTCGACTAAAAGCAGACTCTCTGGGTTAAACGCTTAGTCGAGTGTTGAATATCAAACTGACTTCTGCCTTCGTCTAGTTTTTTATTACACATCCGCATTATCGAGTTGTTTACTTGTACTTTGCTCAAATCTCAGATGTTGTTTCTAGTTATATTACCAGTTGACAGTTGTCGTTTAATAATTATTTATTAAACGACAGTCCATTAAGTTGCTCTTTATTTAAATATGATCATAAATTCAATAAAAAAATATGAATAAAACAGCTTTGCAAAAGAAGGTTTTCAAGGTGCTTTATAGCGTAAAAAACAACAAACAATAGAATCAATAAAAAATAAAACAATAAAAACAATAGCACCACTAATACAACAATCAAAATAAAGCAATAAGGCATCAAATATAATCCAAATGAAACCGATTAAACATCTTGTGTGGCAGTAAACCCTGCTGTAGTGCATCTGTGTGTCTTACTGTGCGATGAGGATCTTGACGAGTCCTGCGTGTCCACAGGTGGCGGCGGCGTGCAGCGGCGTCCACAGCTCGTTGTCCTGAGCGTTGACGCTGGCGCCTCGGTCCAGCAGGATCTTCACCATCTCCTCGTAGTTATCTATACAACACTGTAGTGAAAGAGAGGGGGAGGGAGAGGGGGAAAGACAGAATTTGTTGAATTGATGATACTATAAAACTTGCCAGAGTAGTACTCCATATTGACTAGGAAAAAGGTATGTCAGGGTGAGTTTGAACGGGAAAAGAAAGACATCGATAAAGACATGATATTGAGTGAAATAAAATTGTGTAACAGTTTTCTTCTAAATCTTTCAGTAATGCGAGTGCTCTGCCAAAAGACTGAGATCCACAGTTTAGTCGTGTTTGCAGGGAAATGAATAGTTGGCTGAAACAGAAGCTCTGTAGCTTATTATTTTTAGTGTGATGTAGCAAATAATGCACAGAGTGAGTGCTCAGCTGTGCTGCATTGATGCTTTATGCTTCAGCAGCTTAATTATCTCAGGAAAAAAGGAATGACAAAATACTAATTTGTCACCAAGAGCACAGACGACCAAGAAGTCCATGACAAAGACAAAACAAACCTCTACAAAAGTGCTTTAAGCGCATATTGCAGAGTGCTAACACATTAAGCCAACTCGGACACAGTCATTATGACAGTCATTATGACATCCCACCCATTGTGTGGGCTGCTCCTTGGGTCTGTGATAAACTCAAACCCGTAACTCACACCCGTCCACTGAGACGGAGAGACAAAGACAGAGAGGGGCAGAAAGTATTTTCCCCTTAGTCTGTGGGTGTGATTATAGGGTGGGGAGGAAAGAGAGGTTTTTTCCGTGTAAACCATCCGCCAGTCTCGCTGCTGTCAGCAACAGCAGTTTTCTCCATCAGAGCTAATTGGTGCAAGTGTGGCAGCGCTACACCGCAGAACAAAGAGGGGTGCAAAGACAAGAGAAAAACAACACAGAGAGACAGAGACAGAGAGAGAGAGAGAGAGAGAGAGAGAGGGAGAGAGAGAAAGAGAAAGAGAGAGAGAGAAAGCAAAGAACAGACAGGAAGTCAAAGAATGGGATTACTTTGGCGCAGTACGAGGGTCAGATAAACTCAGAAAACTGAACGATTCAGAGTTTCAGAGCGAGAGCCGGTGTTGTTATTTGTGGCGGTGAAGTTGTAGATTTGAGTCGGATCTACCACATCGTTTGTTGGAACCTCCCCTATCCCTCCAGTAAAGCATATCAAAGCAGAGATGTCATAAAACATCCTTCTTTGTGCTCGGGAACAGCTGCATGTTCATACCAAAGAGCACCTTCGCATTTTTGAGAAGCCACTGGAGTGTTGTCACTTCTCGACTCTCTGCTTTGAAATGAAGATGAGACATCTGTCCCGATGAAACATTAAATCTGCTGAATGCTGTTAATCCCCGTATGATTCTACCCACTTACAAATTTCAAAGATGACAGGAAATACATTTTTGTGACTAACAGAAACAAAATGGAGACAACAAAATGGAAAGAAGTAAATAATTCCATCTTTCCTGTAAACCACTTATCCTAATCAAGGTTTGTGGGAAGCTACTGCCTTTCCCAGCATGCATTGTAAAGAAGCAAGGTACACCCTGGAAACAAGACTGACACACTGATTCACCCCGCAAATGAAATCTTTAATGCAAACATTAGAGCTTCTATATGAAAAACCATTATGCTATTATAGATAGGAACATTATTTGAAATGTCGAAATGTATCGGCTGTGAGAGCTTTAGACTGAAGATCTACACATTTTTCTTTCTTGAATAAATGGTAAATGGACTGTATTTATAAAGCCTTTTATCCAGTCTTTACAACCCCTCAAAGCACTCTACAAGTCCTCATTCACCCATTCACACCCCATTTATAGAGCAATGTTCCATTTGCTCAAGGAACAGCTAACATTCACACACTGTGGGCCATCGGGACTTTGGGTTCAGTATCCTGCTCAAGGATACATAGACAAGTTGACTGCCGATTAAAGGACTACCGCACTTCACAGCCACAGTTACTAAATAACTAAACATTTATAATGCGGGCTGAGTTTCTTTATACTGTCCATCTTTGGTCAGTGGATAAAGTGAAGGGAATTACATCAGGTTCTAGCCAAGTAGCAGCCAGAGAAACAAAGGTACAGTAAAGACCTAATACTATTATGTCAAGGCTTTAATCTGAAGGGTCTGATATGAATTTGATAACCTGTATGAGTTACTTGTTTCATGAGAACATTAGAGTAAGACTTGTCGTTTTGTAAGTGATATAGAAATATTACTTAGTTAGATTGTCATCCTGACTCTGTGACGTGACATAAGGACTTTTTCAGATGTGTGATCAACATGTCACATGTGTTATAAGTAACAAGGAGCCCTGAATGACTCAAAACTGATTTCTGACCGGTTTTCTCTCCTGCCAGGTAGCTGAATGCCTTCAAAGCCACAATGAAATTAGAGATACCCGTACTCATCCTTGCTGTTGAGTGATAAACCAATTGTACCTAAGAATAACTGTTCACCTCTCCCCATACGCTCTAAATATTCCACCTCATTACACACGCTCACCATAGAAACCTTGAGCAGTGGAGGTGTGCAGAGAAGACTGCCTTTCTTTCATGGATTTACATAGAGGATGAGCTGAAGTGCCGTCTCTAGAGGATTGTAGTGTTTGAGAGAAGGAGCGAGAGCTAGTCACAGTAATTCAGCAAGAGAGCAACGAGAACGAATATAACAAGAGCAACAGGCTGGAAATGCCAGGAAGAAGAAAGGGATATCAAGAGACAGAGGAAATCTGCTTAGGGAAGTTCAAACGAGCACCCTTTGGACATCATTTAAACTAACAGCATCTAAACAGATCAATGTCAGACAAATGTATGAGTAGAAAACGACTAACTGTATTTAACAGAACAATTACACAGCCGTACATTTACTAGTACAGTGCCCTAGAAGCAAAAATACATATATCAAATTGTATAAGACTTTGATGAAAATAAGACTTGAAATAAAGCTCTTATTCATTGAAAGCATTATCAACTTGACCATGTGCTCTCTGTTGTAGGATATTCTTCTAAACTTGACGTTTTTCATGAGGCTTCTACTATCTAGCTCAAACTTCACCAAAAGCAAAGTCAAAACATCTCAATCACCCCCTGGTAGCTGTCTTTTAGTTTAGTAAGCGCTTGATCTGATGCAGTGTAATCTACTGTATGAACCAAGTCAATGAACAGTTAAAAGTGGTAATGTTACTTCACTGCCAATAGATGTCTTTGAAGTAATGCGTTTTGACTGTTTGATTTCATTGAGCCAGCAAATACTGAGCACAGGAGCTGATATTGTGTGGAAGGTAAGCAGATGTGACTGTGAGATGATTCAATGGTTGAGAGCGTCACCTTTGGTAATGTGTGCCTCCCTGCTGGCCTTAAAAGAAAACCTCCATCTGTCTTCTCAGTCACACGTACTCCATCACTGTCTCTGCCTGCCTACCACCTGAAGCAAATATTATTCTGAGGGCCTTAACCACAGTCAAAAAATAAGAGCACAATGATGTAAGGACAAAATGAGTTGTGTTCATTCTTCGTTGCTCAGAATGCCAAGGTGACTCAGATAAGGCGCCTCTGACAGGAGTTTGGGGGGAGTACATCAATTCATACATAACGCAAGAGAGGAAATGAAATTACTTCACAGATGCAGAGGACAGATAGCAGACAGGCAGACGAGAGGTGAAATTCATAGAAGACACAAAGACTGACTGGAAACACTACAGGCTGACAAGACAAACATCCTGTGTGTTTAAGCCAAAGTGAAACGCATGTTGTTAGATTTCCGCATCTAAGGCCTTTTCTTGGCCAAAGTGTTCACATGAGAATGGTGTATTTCCTCCTGAGCCTGCATTTTTATTTTTATTTATGAAAGTTAAACCAAACTGATAACTTAAAGACATTTCATATTCAGCAATGGAGCTGTAATTTTATATTGTATTGATTACAAAAAATGAATAATATAGTTTTTTTACCTTTTAAAAGTGTTTTTGCTTTCACTACAGCCTTACTTAGACTGTACTATAAACAAACTGATTATATAATATCCTAATACTACTTCAATTAGTGTATGTTTCTTCTCTACTTGAGCTTCTGCTTTATATGGTATGCCAAGATAAACCGGCCCTTATCTTCTTTAAGTGAAGGATGATAAAAGATTGTATATGAGGAGAAAAGAGAGCTAAAAGCAATCTGGCATCACTGAACATGAATAAAGAAACATAAATGCTGCAGTCTGGTCCCAGACACAGTGATCCTTTTCTAAGGAAGGCGACTCAGAATTTACCAGAAACAGTCTATAAGACTTTCCTCTGAAACTCCCTAAAGCAGAAGTGGTGGTGGTTTATTTGTGTGAACTTCCGGTGTCAGTGATATCAAAAGAGCCGCCATAAGTCAACGGAAGAATAAAGAAGTCACACATTTCATTATTTTACTTTCAGTCAGTGTGTTAGCATGTATGGGAACATTCTCCCTCTTGTAACACGGATATGGTAATTCAGAGAGCAAGATATGGATTTCATTTTCTGCTGGGGTAATTGGCAAGCTTGGAGATATAATTCAGGGGAAATGAGCAGCCTCATAAAACTGACAAGAACAAGACTCCTAAGAGACATACAAGCTTGTCAAAGACATCCGATGCACTGATGGATTAGCTCGCATCTTAAGCTCCAGCCTGCAGCGGTGGCATGACAGATGTCATCAGAAAAACCCAGGAGACTTCAACCTACACACAGCAGCCAGTAACTAGGCTAATCTCCCAACATCCTTGGGTTGAAGTAAACTAAATCTAAACTAACTAAACTAATCCCTTACATTTTCAAACTTGCACCCACAAGCTAACTAGGCCCAAGACTAAACTCCCAGACTTCCCCTAAAATCCCACCAGCCTCCACCCTTCTTGGAAATAATGTGTCTTTCATCAAAACTATTCACACAAGGATGGGAGTGTGGCTCTGACAAAGGCTCAGATTATGTGGTTGGAAAACAACAGCAACAGTCTTGCTGGGATCGGTCCGTGGGCTGAGAGGACTGAGTTCTGAGCCGAGGAGTAACATCACA